CTATTCTATTTCTATACAGTCATGACTCGATAATCTGACCCTTAACAATCCTAAACCTTGCTATCCGACACGTTGTTAGGAAAAATGAACGGAAGCCATTAAAAAACAGCCTTAACATAGCGACAGCCTTGGATTCCGATTCCGACATGACATTTTATGTCACCAATCAGGATGACGGCGTATTATCTGACTGAACAATCCCACAGATTGGCTACGTTCACACTGCAGGACTTAATGCTCAATGAGGATTTTTTTGAGAAATTCGATTTTTTTGCGAGTTCGTTCACATTTTTATTTAATTGGGCTTTGTCTTTGTTTTGTTTTTTGACTTTCTTCGGCCCTAAAGTTTTCCGGCTTGCGCGGAGGGGGCCCGGCCGCGTTCCCCGGCGGGGGGCTTGTTCGTTTTTTCCGGAGTTAACCCGGGTTGTTGGGGCGGCCCCGGTTCCGGTTGTTGGAACCGGAGTTGGGTTTGTTACCTTAACTTGGCACCGTTTTTGCTTTTGCTTTCGGCCCCTTTCCCCCCGTTCGGGGGGTTGCCCCGGGTTGGAGTTTTCCCCGACCGCGCAGAATATTCAGATATTCATCATTACTTGGGCCTGAATATCCAGAGAGCAGAAAGTGCTATTGGGACCAGCCCTACTAGTTATTATAACAACTATGAACAATAATTAACAACAAATGATCCTTCCAGCATCAAGCCCTCCTTGTATCTCGACCTCCGTCTTGACAATCTGACAGCCTTGCTATCCGACATAAAAGAAGGTTTTACATTTAGTGTCAGATTATTGAGTGACGACTGTACTTGCTGCAGTCATTCAAAAGTTTACATGCAGCGTGAGTTGAACCCCCAACTCTGGCACAGCGAGGCTGGTAATGATTAACAATCTGACCAGCGGTGTTCTTCTGAAATTCTCCTATCAGCCGTTGTAAAGTGAACACCCAAGGCGTCTTCTGATGCCGTCTTTGCAGTGACGCACAGCAGATAACAGACAGACTTGTTAGAATCCAGACTGATAAGACCCGCAAAGGCCATGAGCAACGTTCAAGACCTACAACACCAGAAACACGCTGTGAGAAAATGTGATTCCCAACTACAAACATGCACACACTTCCACACACAACCACTCCTAAGAATCATTAATATTATTATACATATGTCGTCATTTTTTAAATAGAATATTGAACAAGAAGTAGTTGCTACAAAACCACACTGCGTTGTTTTTTTAATTGTGTGCAGTTTCAGTAAATAAGATATAAATAAGTACATTTTAGAGGTGCTGGTTGGAAGACATAATTTATTTTGGATTTCAGGGAATTTGGGATTTGGATGCAAATTTTAAACAATTTAACATAAAGATAACTAGCCACATTAATAATAAATATTTGATGAATCATTAAAAGAATGAAGTACAGTCAGTGCATGTTTATCCGTGTGCTAATAAAGCCATTTTTAAATATGTACCAGGTGTTTGCCACAGAATCAGCTCACTTACAACGGCCACACAGCTGCAGGAATAATGTGACAATAAATTTGGACTCGATTTTTCTACTTGAACAACGGCTGGAGGTCATTAACAGCAACTGAAGTCTCTGTCTTGGTGGCTTGATGTGAGCACTGACAATGCTCACAGTCACCTCATCCATCAAATAATCAACATTCAACCACAGCACAACTAAACTAACCACCACAGAACACACTTAACATTCTCCTGTTTCTTTGCACCAGCATGGACTGCACACTGTCAAGCGACCACCTCCTTGAGTTGCTACAGGATCAGTCTCACATAGTCTGACTGTTCTGCTTTACAGAATGTAATGCATCACAGGGAGAGAGAGAAAACCCTCTGACTGGATTGTGTTTTTTAAACCATTCACACTCAAATTGGGAGCTAAGTCATAATGTACGCAGCGCTGTTTCCTCAAAGTAATGAGAGGAATGTTGTTCTGGGAGAACGTTTGTGCACAGGGAGGCCAGTGCTGTAATTAAAATGGTAAATTCAATGGGAAAAAAATATATTCAAGGGCTGCTTTACTGCACGATCCAAATCCTCTGTAAGACTTTAAACTTTCAGTGTGGTACGGTGCTGCCTGAGGGTTGCTGTCGGATTTCGAAAATACTAAAAATGAAAAACGCAGCCAAGATTCAATGAGTCACACTACTACAGTAATCCATCCATTATCCATACACCGCTTTATCCTCACAAGGGTTGCTGGAGTCTATCCCAGCCGACTCAGGGGACACCCGTCTATCACAGGGCTACACTTAGAGACAGACAACCAAGCACACTCACATTCAGACCTACGGACAATTTAGAATCACCAATTAACTTCAGCATGTTTCTGGACTGTGGGAGTAAGATGGACAACCCAGAGAGAACCCACGCTGCACAGGGAGAACTTGGAGACTCCACGCAGAAAGATCCCGGGTGTCCTCACCAGGACGCAGACCGGCGACCTTCTCACTGCGAAGCAACGGTGCTAACCACCGCGCCAGTAATTGAAACATCAAAAGAGCTGCTGTCATGCATGTTGCTCGCCTTATCAGTTTATATATTTTAAATCAGTTGAATTATTAACAACAATGATTCAATTACCAAACAATCAGTAACTGCCCTACTATGGACAGGGCAACTTTAACTGTTTGCCCCATTTCTAGTTTCTGTGCTAACCTAAGCTAACAGGTCATTAACTCTCGTTTCTGACAGAAAGAACAGATATTTGATTGATGTTCATTTATCAGGTTTAATGAAAAAACAGAATGTCTTTTTCCCCCAAAATTCAAACTGCTGTTTTTCTACAACACTTTCTTCTTTCTTTCTTTTCAAAACCAGCAGCGCTGCATTTAAGGCTGAAACCTCAAACCTCCAGTGCATCCTGTTAGACCACCTTTCTGTCAAGTCAGACGACATAACTCTACTAACTCTGACTCAGTTCCTGCAAATGTACCCTTACCCATGTCTTTAACCTAAAACTTAATGAATAACGTTACGGAAACTTGCATTTTGTCCCAAAAAGTGAAGCGAATCATCACGATGTACAAACAGATTTAAGTCCTCACAACACACGTAACACAAATCCTCCCACACACACTAACGATCTGAAAACTGAACAGCTTTGACAAATGGTATAATTTCTGTGGCAGGACGGCACAAAGCCTCAGCCAGCTTTCAGAATAGTAATTACACTAAACTGAAAAAATGCTGCAGATAAATGAGATCTACATTTTTGTCACTTGTCAATGCAAGCCCAGGTTGTTGTTTTTTGATTTCTCTTCTTCTTCCCACCAGTGATTTCTGAGGAAGGGACAAGACACAACTATTTTTTTTGTCAATGAGTCATGCAGGCGGACAAAAGCAGATTTAGGCACTGGCGCTGCAAATGTTTGCAGATCAAACAGCCTGACATGGTGATGGATGGAGAGGGCAGGAGGAGGCAGCTCAGCCCTGGAGCAGACCGCCATCTAATGGACGCAGGGAGGACGGACATCCATGTAAAAAAAGTGATGACACTGGTCAATTCCCAAAGTTTCCCACGGCAGGGAAAACAGGTCTGACGAAACGACTGGAATCAAAGGAGGAAACGGCAGGAGGCCGAGTGTGGAATGATGTAACTCTGCTGTATGTGCAGAGGACAAGCTCAGCAGGTACAGAGGAAAACTGCCTCATATATCTCACTGTGGAAACCTTACAACTGAAGGATGGAATCACTGACAAAAATATTCTCACAGAAACATGCCAAAACATTAGAGGCAGCATTACTTTCATCATGGCACGCTTACTTAAGAGGTATGCTCATGTAAACCCACTGACCAAAGACATTTTGCATGTCTTTTAATGAATGCAATGGTTTTAAATGTTTTTTGTTTTTTTAAACTTGGCAAAAAACAACATCTCTGAGACTTTTCTAATTCAAAACTATTATATTTGATCATTTTCCACTGTTTTTCTTTGCGTGCTGGTGTGCGTGAATCCACATGCCGCGTCATTCAACTCATTTTGAGCAAAGCAAGTTTAAAAAAAAGGTGCTAAACCTGACCAGACCTGGATGGCAAAGTCAAAGCAAACCCAGTTACACGTGTCATGTAGCAGACAAAAGGTGGATGAAGCACATATAAAGAAAAAAAGAGGCTAAAAACAGTCCCAGTCAGGACCTGAACAGGAAAACACAGAGAAATGTTTGCATGCTGAAACATGAATTCACCAGCAGATGTGGTTTATTTTAATTGTCAAACATTTTCCAGAAAATCTGTTTGAGCGTGAAGAAGGGAGTCATAAAGAGAAGAAGACGCACAATGAAACTGGGTGATAAACACGATAACAGTGCATTAGGCAACACTTTTGCCCTTCAGTCGACATAAGACACAAATGAAGAAATAAACGAGTCCATTTGAAGCGACTGTCCGTGTGGGGGGTTATGGAGGCAGAATGAAGGAAGCAGATATAGAGGAAGGAAGGAGATAAAGGCAAGAGGAGGGAATGCATAAATATTTTGGGGGAATACATTCCATGTTGGTTTGCTCACGAATTATTCAGGAGTTGCACTGCTCACAATTACAACGTAAATGCAACGGGGACGAGAAACCACTGATTGCTGCACTGATCCTATGATAAACACTTGACAGGATATTATACAAATATTGCAGCAGGGCGAGTCCATGTGGCAGCATGACTACAATGGAAAAAGTTTTTTTTACATGGGGTTCATGGGAAAAAAAAACATACAGAGAGGTGACAGAAACAGGGAAGCAGCTGACAGTGTGACATTCACTAATATCAGGCCAAATCACTGTTGACTGACAGCCAGGCTTCTTGTCTCAACATCAAGCTTCATAGTGAAATCTGCTTCTTCTTTTTTTCTCTCTCTCTCTCTAAATCTCCTCTCCCAGGAGCAGCTATATAAACCAACTTTCAGGAAAGCTGTTCATATCAGAAGGTAGAGCTGCCACTGTTGAGCGCATCAGATCCCAGTTTGAGAGTTTGGAGGTGAATTTTAAGACTCACCTCAGAGACCGGCGTCTTCTCTCTCTCTCTCTCTCTCTCTCTCTCTCTCTCTCTGTCTGTCTGTCGCTCTCTCGCAGGTTGCTCCTTCAGGGAAATGCCGCTGAACACGCTGGAGGTGTCTGTCAGGTAATGCTGCTGCACTTATCGCCCTTTCCCATTTTTATTGCTGCAGGTTAGTGAGTACTTAGACTTCAAACTCTGCAGCCACAGCGCTGCGTGCCCCGCCGTGGGTGTGACGTCGGCGGCTGGGTCACATGACCGGAAGAGCGACGGTGGGACGTAAACAAGTTTACTACCGAGAACACGAGGTCTGTGAAAGCGTCGCTGCTCAACCTGGACGTTCACACACACACACACACACACACACACCCTTTATTATGTTGGATTGTTTGACATCTGTCATTCCATTTTGACTCACAGGTTTATCAGTTGGTTCGCCCACTCATGCCTTTCTATTACTGGATTTTCCGTATTACTCACCTTTCTAGACCGTTTGTCTGGAATTGATAGATCAAAAAGAATAATAGATGGAGAGTTCACAAACCATCAGAAAACCTGCTTTCCCATCGTCTACCTGAGACAATATCAGTAAAACTTAAGTTATCTCTATTTTTGTCATTTCTACTGAGTCAAATCCACTCAGCTTCAGTTTGAGTGATATTATCGCAAGCAAACAACAAAGAAAAGAAGTTTTCTAAATATATCTAAAAATTGAGTTAGCTGTTTTTGCAAATGAACGCTTCATACACACACACACACACACACACACACACACACACACACACACACACATATATATGGCAGAGAACGTTTCTGGTAACAGAGAGACACTAAAGGGTAGGGGAGAGTTTTTTGGGTTTTTTTAAACATTTAAATTCAATTCAGTTCTATTCAATTTAGTTCCAATATCTTTTTTTTTTATTCCTTTGGAGCAATTCAAAAGCTCACTGAGTATTTAATATAAAGACACCCCCCCAAAAAAACAAAAAAAACAAAAAAAAACCAATAAACCACATCATAAATATTACATTATATTATTTTATATTACATGGTATTGGCAGGGAGTCAGCGGGTCAATGATGGTTGTGCATTTAGAAGGAGGACAGCTCCAGGAACAGAAGTTGCCCTCCTTCTTTGAGTCCGGCAGCCCGGGCAGCAAAGGCAACATCCAGAGGGGAGCCACTCAAATGCAGGGAACAGCAGATATGATGGGTCCTGAAGAATCCTTGCTGGCTTTCCTTAAGATCTGTTGCTCACAAAAGGTGGAGAGGACTCTTACAGGGAGGCCCGATAATTTTTGGAGCAGATCTTGACAACACTCAGTAGCCGGTTTTTACAAAATGGTTTCCATTATACATGTTACAACATAATAAAATTGCACATTTGAATTGAAAGTGGTTCAAGAGTCAAAAACCAAATAGAGAAACATATTTAAAGAAAGAAAGGAGAGATTTTATGTGTAGACAGATTTTTTTGTAGCATATATATTTATCTTGGTTTTTGACCCTTGAGCCAATTTTAAGCCAATTCAAACAGATGTTTGTGTGTAATAAACACAGGTTTATTTTCTCTTGTCAAATGTTTTGAGTCACTGTCTAAGATGTCCCAACCATCTATGATGTTTTCAAGATCCTCTGTGGTGCAAATCAGGTTTTTCTACCTTAACATGTCTATGTGGTGTTTTTTTTTTATAAGCTTAAAGACATAAAATATATAAAATAATGAGTGAACAGCATGGATGAGTGCTTCCATCTTCAAAATTTCAGTGTACTAATGACATTCTTAAAAACAAATTTAAATACCTGGAGTTTCAAACCTAACAAACTAATCCTGTCGTCTAGCATTGTGGGACTTTCTGTATCCCCATCCCACCCTGCATTCTTCTCCAGAACTGGTTTCGAAAAGGCATGTCTGAAATTTTCCAATACTACAACTTGTCATTATGTAGTGCAGAGTATGGTGTTTGAGCAGAGTCGTAGGTGAGCTGATGTGCTCAAGCTGGAGGGAGCATGGAGGGTTGGGTGTAGAGAAAAGTAGGGACTTTATAAAGCTGCACATTTTAAAGGAAGCATCAGTGTGGAGTCACATCTAAGCCGTTTTAAAGGTACACAGAGAGGAGTTTTTAGGTACTTCCTACATACAAGCTAATCAACCAGAAGTCCACATTTGTGTTTTTGTGTCTCTCTTCAACAGCTGGACAGATTTCCTCACGCTCACAATTCTTCACGTGTATTAATCATACTGACAGATGTGAGGTAAACAAGTCGGGCCTGCACGTCAGACCTCTACCTGCGCCTCTTATGTTTTCATTTGCAAAGTCTCAGTAATGAGGTTACACCCACAACTACAAACACAGCAAGACCACACTCTAATCTAGACACTCATCCAGTTTGGCCACATTACCTACTGGTTGTGACCTTTTTGGGTAATCCTCAAGCCCTGCAGACGTCCTGCTTTATCTGTAGAGTCTGAGTCATCTGTCAGGGGAAACTCAACATGTCGAAGTGTTGGACAAGATGACGGATAGCTGGTTAAAGAGGTTGCTGGGTGGTTCTCCTGATAGCTGAGTAATATTAACCTGAGGCAGTGTTCCAAACAACAAGGCTTACTCGTTCAGAAAAGTAAAATGCACCACATTTAAAGCAATATTTTTTGGGAGGGAATATCGAATTTTATTTCATTTAAAACGTCACACACATCATTGTACACAGAGTTAGTGTACAATGCACACAGGAGAGGTTGAGTTACATGATGATCACCCTGAAACTGTTTTCTTCTTGTGTGTTTCAGTCATCACTATGATTGAAGTTACTACATTTCAAATTAAATGAGTGAGAACAGTTTTGTTTTTCAGATAAGATTCGCTGATATGTGTCAACATTGTTAGTTAAAAAAAAAAAAAACAGAACGAAAGTAAGTTTTGCTTTGACTTACCTTTGAAATACCACAATTTGTTTCTGTGGGTTGTAGATCCTTCACTTATTAAAGGTAAAAATAATCTAACTGGCTAGAATTATAGTTTATGAGCATAAAAGCAACACGTTTTGAATTTATAAGGTCACAAACGACAATGTATTTTGTTGGAAGTAGCTGTGAGTCTCCCTGCTTCTATTACATTTTATGTCCTTGTTAGTCGACAGTTTTTAAGGACAAAGTGTTGTAGCAAAAAATAGTCAATTTGTATTAAAAAGGCTTCAACTTTCTGATATATCCTGTATGTTACAGCAAACACCTGTCTGTTGTTTTAAATCAGACTTATAAAATTGCATCCTTTGCTATTTCTATTTGTAATAATTCTATTTAATAATGTTTTTGTTGATGTTATTCTTTCTATAGTTTAACTTGACCAACGAGTTTATTTCTGCCCCTGAACACTGTTGTGCCTGCACAAGAGGCCTCCTGCTACTGAAAACGTTTCTTGAACATCATATATAAACAATAATTATATTTATCATATTTGCATTATATGTAAGATTGCAGTTACAGTTATGTTTCCATTTATACAATAATTACCCAAAAGGCATTTGTACTTTAGAATTGTGCATTAAAATAAAAAAATAAATAAAATAAAATAAAATAAAGATCAAAAGGAATGTTAGTTAAAAAAATAAAAGGTAAAATGAGTGATGGCATAAGTATTCACCCCCTTCCATCAGTATTTAGTGGTGCCACCTTTAGGCACGGAGCCTGTGTAGAGAGGTTTCGATCAGCTTTGCACATCTGGACGCTGCAACTCTTCCCCTTTCTTCTTTGCAAAACTGCTCAAGCTCTGTCAGGGATTGTGAGTGAACAGCCATTTTGGAGTCCAGCCACAAATTCTAAGTTAGATTGAGGTCTGGGCTTAGATTCGGCCGCTCCAAAATATTCACCCTGCTGTCTTTAAACTATTTCTGTGTAGCTCTGGCTGTATGCTTTAAGTCATTGTCTTGCTGGGAAAAAAAACAAAGCTTCTCCCAAGTTGCAGTTCTCCTGCATCAGGTTGTCCTCCAGGATTTCTCTTCACTTCGCTGCTTTCATTTCACCCTCTACCTTTACAAGCCTTCCAGGGTGACCCATCCCCACATCATGATGCTGCCACCAGCATGCTTCAACACTGAAAATAAATTAAAGAAGAAAACCTTGAAGGGGGGGAATACTTTTTATGTATGTAGGTCATATATCATTTTAGGAAACATTACATTTACAGTTTTACCTTTGAGGCTGTTTCTTTTTTCAAAACAAACACTGTAGGAAGACTTAGTGCAAGAGCTATTGGATTAAGCTTCAGAACTTAAATCAACTGAATGACAAGCAGCCTAACGAACAGGTCAAAGCTGGGGCAGAGATCTTCCACAGCCAATGACAAAAGTGCGACATAAAGAAGTCCGAAGCCTGAAAGAAAAACATAAAAGTTGCTGTTTTGTATTTGCCTGAAGCCAATGCTGGTGTGGACAACATTTCTGTGCGTTTTTCTGTCCAGAAACATCAGTGTCCTGCAACAGAAAGAACTCCTCGGGGCATTTGATGTCTCACGAAGCCTTCTCCGTCATTTTGAGTAATGGGCGAACGGAGACTCCTCGTTCACTTTGCCCTGGAGAAACAACAGAAAGCAAACAAGTCATTCGTAGTGACCTACAATCATCATGGTGCAGAAACGCTTGTATGGGATGTTTGGTGTTACAAACCTGGTTTACCATCAAAACTAAACTTAACCATGATTCCGTGTGCACCGGTAGCACATTTATAGTGGATTTATTAGATTTTTCTTTTATTTGATTACGTCTGTTGTTTGCAGCAACCCATTTTGAGTCAGCGTAACAGGAGGCCTACGTCTTTGCTCTCATACACATTTAATGGGATTAAATATTAATTGATTATACAGGGCTGCCAGTCAGTTGACTCCGAGAAATTGCATGTGACCTCTAAAAAATTCCTATTTTTATGTCTCAAATATAATTTAGTAAATGTCAAAATGTTTTACAATGCAACGATGCCTTTTATTACTTTCACAAGCTTCTCAGGCAGGGAAAATAACATATTTAACTAAATTACATTGTATTTGTAAAAAGCTGCAAATGTTGTTATTGATTTTTATTTTTTTTTTAGTTAAATTAAGTTAAATAATACAAAGGAAAGTATTCAGTAGTTTGCCATGTAGTGAAGGGAAAATCTTGTCAGTGTAGTCAGAGTTGCTTCATAATCCTTTGTACTGTTTTTTTCTTTATAGACATTTGCCTTGACATTTATTAACCCTGTAAGTAAGCTATCGTTTCATCATTGCCTGCTCACTTTGCAAAATCAGCTGTTTACGTCCCCTATTGTAGGCTATGTATTGTGTGTGCTGCTCTCTCCGTTCATAAACGTACCCTCTGTCCTAATTCAGCACAATGTTCTGGAAGATTTTTACAGCTCCTACAGTCGTGCGGCAATAAAGATAAACACTGAGCACTCTAATTGTCACAACTGTGCAATCCAGTGCAATTTAATTGAATTTCAATCCATCTATCATCTATACACCACTTAATCCTCACTAGGGTCATGGGGGGCTGGAGTCTATCTCAGCTGACTCAGGGTGAAGGCAGGTTCACCTGGACAGGTAACCAGTCTATCACAGGGCTACACTTAGAGACAGACAACCAAGCACACTCATCATTCACACCTACGGACAATTTAGAATCACCAGTTAACCTCAACATGTTTTTTTGACTGTGTGGGAGGAAGCCAGAGACGCTGCATGGGGAGAACATGGAGACTTCACACAGAAAGATCCCAGGGGTCCTAACCGGCGACCTTCTTGCTGCGAGGCAATGGCGCTAACCACCGAGTCACCTTGCAGCCCCCAATTAAATTTTCTGTTGGAAATTGTATTTTTGCAATTCTTCTTTTTTTTTTTTCTTTTAGCTTTTGTTGAGATTAGAAAGATGACACTTGTATTTAATGTTTACTATTGAGGTCATAGTGCATGGTGGTGGTGGTGCACTGCATTGAAAAGCACACATTAATATTTTATCCACAAACAAAATAGTAAAGTACGTACATATATTTGATCATATCTGTTGTATTGGATTGCAGTCTGCACAGGTGTTTTTTGTAAAGCACATGGTGAACATGTTCAAGATGTTTTGCTTTTTGTTTTTCACATGGTGGAGATCTGATTCTTGCTTACACTTTCACATGACATGTAACTTGAAAACTCCCAGATGCTGACGGTGTCTGACTGCCAACTGACGCACTGATGGATGGTTAATGATAAGCTTTTCATTTCTAAAGAATAAGTCATGTCATACTCAACACTCACTGCCCTGTGAGGCTTTTTCACACACTGTCAGATTTCCTGTTTACGTAAAAGAGCAAGCAGCAAACCACTGTGCTCATTGCTGAGGGGAAAAAGGAAGAAAATGACACATGGCAACTGAAAACATTTAAAATGCTTGCCCTTTATACCCTGCCAAGGCTGATAGTTCTATTCCCTCTGGGGCAAGACACTGTGCAGCTGCCAGAGTCACACGTTGTTCTAGTCCCAAGCATTTCACACAAGATAACAAGTATGTGTCTCCCTCTGCTGGTGGAAATACCAGTATGATAGGAAAAAACTCATTATCTCTCATTGTGCGTTGTTAAAATGATCATTCCTTATCGACAGTGTGCAAGAGAAGCGAGTCCACCCCTGCGTAATAAATCTTAAATGTTAAGTGATTCAAAATTGCAACACCTCTGAAAAGCTGTAGTATTTCTAAGCTGACAAGTAGAGTAATACTTCCTATGAGCAATCGACAGTTGTTTTTAAAAGACTACATTGAAAGTAGAGTCTCCGAAATAAAAACTTGATGCAACAGAAGTGATGCACAAGTTAGAAAACCTGTGATCACTGAAACTAAACTGAAGACACCTGATTAGTCTAAGTGCATGAATGCAGTTATAAAATGACCTTTGAACACTTTCTCAGTTTGGAACCTCTGGTCTGTGTGTCTGCATCATGGCTTCACATGGAAAAAGAATCACCAGAGGATATGAAAACCCAGAATGTGAGACTTAACATAGATGGAAAAAGAAAACAGTAGGGTGGATGAATAACTAAAAATCAATCGAACAGCTGCAGCAGTAGTCATGAGATATAAAACGAGCTGTAGTACCACTAATCACAGCTGCAGGGGCTGATCTGCTGCAATGATGCCATAGACAATGTGTTATTTGTATAATCTAACGCTGAAAAACAGACGGGCAAGTGCTTTAGAATTGACAAATGGTCTTTTCAAAGAAGAAAAAAACGGAAATTTGTGGCCAAGTATGTCGCCTGATTTAAATCCAGTAGAACACCTTTGAGGTATTTTTAAAGAGAATATTTGAGCAACACAACCCGTCAAGCAAAGAGCAGCTGAAAAGGAATGTCTTTGAAGAGCAGAACTTCCCTATCAAACGTTTCCTCCATGCCAAGGAGGACTAATTCTACCATTAAAAATAAAGGTGAACATATGAAGTATTGAAAAATCAAAGAATCTCAGTTATAACAGGTGTACTGACTTGTGTGGCATTGAGTTCTTCATGTGAGGCCTGTACTTTAACCCAATAAATCCAAGCAAACTGTTCAACTTAGAAGTAATGCAGTTAGTGTAAAGTGATGCAGTTTTTAATCGTTTGACATTTAAATAATGTTACACAATTTTCTTGTGTGCTCTAAATGTGGCTGCAACTGCACAGAATGCTCAAAAAGTTTTTGTCAAAAATAGAAAAAAAATAGAATCAAATGCATACATAATCAAAAGTCACTCTAATGAACCTGGCACCCCCATGCACATGGGAGCGTTGGCTGGTGGTGTGGAGCAGAGAGGTGATTTCATTGGGTCATCACCTCTGTTAAACAATAACACTATTGCTACTGCTACAGCTAGTCACTAACTGGAAAAACAAAAGACTTAACCTGTCAATGCCCCTGTATGAAAAGTTAAGAGATCGCTTAAGAGACTGCAATGTGTATTTGTACTAAAAAATCCATGCCCATCCATCAAACGATGTTTCTCTTGTCCAAATGTGTTACGTACCCAGTTTAGTTTTGATTAAGTTTAATCAACCAGTATTATAGTTAAAACATCAGGTTCCTCTTGTCTAACTCACCAGCGGCACTTCTTCAAGCCTCTCAAAGCTGGACCTCTGTGATCGGACACATTTCACCGTGAAGACCACCAGCACGAGGCCCAGGATGATGCAGAAGATGCAAATGACAGCAACAAGGCCGGGGTTTGCTCTCAAGTCACCTTTCTCCCAGTCGGGTGGAAGAGCTGAAAACAAGACGAGCAAAGAAGTTACCTTTAGTACTTGTTTCAAAGCTTATCTGTTCAGAACGCTGCTGGAGGCTTTTGTCAATATCATCAACCAACGGCTCATCCAAACTACTTCACACTGTAACATTAAACTTTGAAAACATTAAAGCTCAAATTAGGCTTGCACTGTTCAGAGTAATCATTCCTTATTAGTTGAGAATTTGTTGATTAATTTAATGATAATTTTTGCAATTCTTCTAAATAGTGTTTTATTACTTTTTTTTATTGAACAAAATCAGTACTTTATTATCACTGCTGTGTTATGGTGGTCATAATATTAATTCACCCCATTTGTCAAAAGACTAATCAGCAAAATACTGGACTTTGAACTGAAAGAACAAATAGATTAATTAACCACCTGTATGTCACAACAAACCTTTCTGGGATCTAAAATAAAAATGGTTATAACCTGGACTCACATCATCATTACAGTGACGTGAAGTTAAGATAATCACTAGCAAATGTATTTACACAGCAGTGTGGAGTCATTAGTTTGGGACATTTTTCACTCAAGCACAGACGTAAACACAAAATATAAAACGGCCAAAAAACATGAGGTGACGCACAGTCATAACGTCACATTACCACAACAGCAGTGGCACGGGAATGCCTTGTACATGGGGGTAATAAAAACATTTAGAAAATCAACTTTAAGTGATGCAGAACACGTTCCACGTGCTGACAATCTTTTATTGCGCTTGACTGTTTACAAAGAGCAAACAGGACGGTGCCGCATGTGGCTGCAGTCTCCACGAAGCACCGAGAGATGCTTCCGCTTCCAGTGTTCATGCAGCACTTGTTCTGGTGTGATCAGTCTTTTCCAGTTTGCAGTTTGCCAACAGACCACACATTACTAGGTTTCTGGCTAAAAGACTCCCACAGTTTCACAGTTTCACAATCGCTTCCAGTTAAAACATGAAAGGCCGACTGCAGCCTTCAGCCTTTACTGAAAGTGCGTTTAGCTAGAAGCAGAGTGAGGCCTCAAAATTAAACACATTCTGTGGCCTTAAGGTTGGAGAAAAGGTAGCTTGTTTTAGAGTGGCTGGTTTTGAAGATCCGCTGCTGTCCCTTGTGTCCAAAAGGAGCTAAGTGCGCTTTAAATGAAATAAAATATGCTGCTGAATAAACATTTAACACATGAACACATCACTGCAACCATAAATGCACAATATGTACGTGACAGTGTTGCATTTTAAACTGTGACAGGTGTTTTTTTGGCATACGGAATTTAAAAATTAAAAAAAAAAAAACATCCATGAGAGACTCTGACCTGAGTTGGTTGTGTTCCCGGTGGTGGTTGCTGTGGCATTTGGCGACTGGGATGTTGACGGTAGTGTTGATCTTTGGGTTACTGTCTCATTAGATGTCTGGTTGATGGCTGTAGTCTGAGGTGGAAGATTGGGTCCAGTTTGTGGTGACACTGAAGCAACTGCAGTGGTGTTCTGGTGTGTTGTGTTGGTGGTAAGTGTTGTGTTGGCAGTAGTAGCTGGGTTGGTGGTAGGTGTTGTGTTGGCAGTAGCAGCTGGGTTGGTCGTAGGTGTTGTGTTGGCAGTAGGTTTTGTGTTAGCGGTAGTAGCTGGGCTGGTGGCAGGTTTTGCGTTGGCGGTAGTAGCTGGGTTGGTGGCAGGTTTTGTGTTGGCGGTAGTAGCTGGGTTGGTGGTAGGTTTTGCAGTGGATGAAACGACTAAACTGGTGACTTGTGCAGCACTTGCGGTTGTCGTGCTGACGTCTGCAGAGGAACAAACAACGTGGAAAATTACGTGATGATGCACAGCATTCTCACCTGATCAAGATTAGGCACGTGAAAAGGGTTTGTTGGCATTTTTTGTTCCCAGTAGATAGCATTGCAGATTTTGAATCTAAAAGCAGAGGCGTAGCTGGAAATCATGCGTCCTGTGAACAAGCGGTCATCGGAGGTGTACGTGTTTGCAGGCAGGCAGAAAACAGGACAACGTGAGAAACAGAACTGACTCAATAATCTGACAACCAGCTACGTGCTCTGGGGCATTGGAAGACAGGTAAAGGTGCGTGTGGGAGTCAGGTGACCGGAAGCAGGAGGAAAATCTCAGGACATCTGGTGGGTGGATGAAGTGTGACAGGATGCAGGATGAAAAGATGAAAATAACAACACAGGCCTGAGACCAGAACTGTCACACGTGTGCTAGAAAATCTGTGCAACATCACTGACATGTGCACATTCAGAGGAATTTGGAAAATCTGAATGTTTACATATGGAAAAAACTAATATATATGTACGTATTTTTGGTTCTTTTTTTTATGTTTGCACTGTCCCATTTGCCGCTGCAGCAATGCAAATAAAGGCTCATGGCATCGTAAATACGTCTTCATCTGAGAACCAGATTGTGTGCTACAGATTTAACTTCCTGACTTCAGTCCAGCAGCACCAGATGTAAGCCGTGACGATGGAGTAAGCAGCTAAAGAGAGTAAAAAATTTATCATTTAATATTTTGAAAATTTTGAGGATCATTTTAATGTCGCCCTGACTCCGATCGTTGGTGTCCTTTTTGCTTAAATCAAGCATACTGTGGAGTCCAGAGCAACATTCCTCATTTAAAAGATTTAAACACTAAAAGTAAAGGGAGGACGTCTCAAACAATAATGCAGTGAGGAGTTTTACTTTTTCAACTAACTTCATGTAAAGTGCAATAAACATTTCTAAATATGGGATATTAGTATAAAATATATGGGATGATCTGGACAAATGGGACTGAAATACTGCACGGTAAGTATGTTCATTTCTACCACATTGGACTTCTGCTCCACCGTGATTCACAGGAAAATGCTGTCATCTTTATTAACTTCAGCTACCAGTTACTTTACAGATACAGATCAATAATACAAAATACACTCCATCAATAAAACATGTTGTAATATAACTGATTGAGATGTTGTTAATACTCTATTTTTACTGCACTGAAACTTAAAGACTTGAATATTTCTACATGTCTGTGAAGATTCTCAGTCATCCAGGTCATGGTTATTCTCATAGTTCAATCGTAGCAACTGGACTTGCTTGAGTTCCTTGAAGACGCTCCACCTCTCATCCAAAAGGCTTCATCAGTTCTGACTAACTCAGGTGTTAATGGCTCCTTAAAGATATAAGTACCCGGAACTCCCAACTAGTCAGTCAGAACTGATGAAGCCTCTTGGATGAGAGGTGGAACGTCTTCAAGGAACTCAAGCAAGTCCAGTTGCTACAACTAAACCGCGAGAACGAATATTTCTACGTAAACATCGGAGCTCTTCTTTTTAAGTCCGAGGCTCATCTTGGATTTTCATGTAGCGTTTCACAACAACATTAATAGATTTCCATCAGTGTCTACTCATTCATTACACACTTCCAATGTTTGTTAACTCATCAGTAGGGTGTTAAAAAAAAAGGTCATGTATGTGAAAATTCACATCCATGAGGCCGTTATCGATTTGGTCTGAGCCCACAAAGTAGTTCAATGCTCTAATGTTTGATGCACTTTTGGATTGTTTTTTCATGGATGCGATCCAACATGTTGTAGAAGCAGATCAATCATTGGTAGAAATTTTACCTGAGGTACCTTAAGGGCCTTTCTACTGGAGGTGATGGAGTCCTGTTCAATGTACAGTAGCGCTGATGTTAACTTATAGTTTAACAATTCAGTGCACAGACTTTTCATTGTTTTACCCCCAAGGTGTGTTTTGTGCAGCAAGGCAAAGCTTTGAAAAAGCATCCTGAGACACTACAACTGTTTTGAAGCTGAGCTTTTTAGCTAGAAGCAGTTTCACCTCAGGACCATGAAGTAGTTGCTCAGGGGTTTTTAAATCACATCTCTGTTTTTGGCTGTTTACTGTGACACAGTCAAAGCTCCTGCTCGAGGAGCTGCTGCACCACATGGGCCTCAGTGAGATTGTTGTGATAACTGCAGCTGTTTTTAAGGAAGAATGAACTTAGAATCTCAACTTTTGGCCGGGAAATATCTAAATTTGACCATCAGTAGAACACACTCTGCTGCTGATGCAGGTTGTGTGATGGGATTGAAAGCGCCCCCACCAAACTTCTAATGGGACCTTGACGTGAGATTGTTTTGTCATCTAGTTTTGTTCCTCTTTGTGTCACAGTTGGAGTGAAGCTGTTGACTCTTCAGCGCATTTAATTTAGCAGAATAAACAGTCTGTCAGGTAATAACTAGTTTCCCTGCTGATGCTGTGTACGTGCGTGTTCATTAAAGTGTTTGCAGAAGTAGCAGACGATTCATTGGGTTTAACTATGGTTCCCTTTCACTGGTTAAATATTAACCTCAGTTTCTTCCTAGATGTGACCTTCCCACTTAACTTCCTCATTATTTACTCATAGCAATTTTTAAAGTGCAGAAACTTTGACATGTGTTTTACAAAAAAAAACACATTAATATCTTACTGAATTAATTATAAGGTTTCCGTGCTACAACTTGGCTGTTAACCCTGACCTCAGATATTGCTTTATAATAGGGTTTGGGGTATAAAATGGCACTAAATACAACATTTTCTTGCTTATGGAGAAGTAACCTGCACACTGCTATCTCAGACAGACATACTGAACCTCCCTCTCACTGCAGGAAGCTTCCTGTTTGCATAAATTTGCATCTTTGTAAGACTTTAACATCACTATCAAATTCTCAAACGCACTGAACCCCCGAGTTTAAAAGGCGAAAACGAGAAGCGTTGACTTACCGCTACAGATTGCCACCATCAGCAGGCACACCAGGACAGTGAGGTGCATCGCTGCAGGCATGTTGAGAGAGGAAACGGCTGGCAGTCATATCAACGACACTCTAACACACTACATCCTTGACAGCAGGATGTGTTGAATGCCGGAGGAGGAGTGCTTTAAACGTGGCCTGTTGCATATCTGATTCTTCATGTGAGTCAGTCAATATTTGAACAAGGTCGTGTGTGTTTGCTTTTCCCTCCATCCCTGCTGCCCACAGCTGCACATCACACATGTATTTTAAAGTGGCTTTTACACAATAAAGTGATATTTATGTCAGCTGGCTCAAGCTATCGAACGTCATGAACACTTTCACTCTCTAAATAGCCTCAAGCTCTTTCCAGCTTATGTTCTGTGCAGCGGAAACATCTTGTTGCAATGCAGTTTTTATTCTTCTGCTAAATCAGTTTTAGCAGATTTTCACCTACAAGTTTTAAACTCATATGACAAGAACATATACAGCAATGTGTGTAATGAGTGTGTAACACACAAACTCTTCGCTACAATGAAATCATGAATGCACTATAACAAGACTAAAAGTTAATATTCCAGGAGCTGGAAAACAAAATAACCCAAAAAACAAAAACAAACAAAAACCTCAAACAAACAAAAAGTACAATAACATAAAATAACCATCTTATAAAACAATATGGTAATATTCCACAATTAAAATGCATTTTGTAGCTTTAATCTTACATACCATCACATAATAATAATAATAATAATGGATACATTTGCATGATATCAAAAATATTAAGTAAAAATTGTTATTATATTGATACTTTGGTGTATTTCAAAAACACAGAGGGAATCTGTTTGTTTTTTGTTTTTTTTAAGGGGGGGAAAGCCCTAAAATCACTGATTTTCACAGTACATGTTGGATATTCTAGTAATGAATGCTGTCATATGGATACACATTACTGAAGCTGATTATTAAAGACAACATGTCACACTGAGAGAAATGTGCAGAAGTGCAAAGAACTGAACCTCCTCTTTCGTAAACAGAACTCAGAAGAAAAGGTCATAATTGTACAAATAAGCATATTTATTTTACAAGAAACATGGAATGTGTTCATTTTTTCTTTTAATTCTCCATCGTTTAAAAAATTCTGAACAGGTCCTGATTTTAAAGATTTATTTAAAGAACTGCGAGTCTCATGAGAACACCAGAGTGTATTTATTCACGCCCATCCCTTCTGTTCCTCAAACAGAAAGTCTCATCGGAATATGAAGTACTGGAAGAAAGTCATTGTTTCATTTAACTCCCTTATAGTCAAGTGTTTTTATTATACCGACTTTACAGAATTCTTCGTTCTTTACACAGATTAGTGTAGCAATGACGTTTTATGTGGTAACGCCCATCATCATACTTACAGGTCTGTTAGTACTATACAAACACAGCAGTAGCACCAACGACGGTGTCAAAAATTAAATATATCTGTATATAATAAATAGTGCTTCATAGATTTCTTGTTGACACCATTTATGCAATTTTCTTTGATCATCAAAGTCTATCAATAACTTATCTGGTAGAAATACACAGTCTATTAGGTCATTTGTACAGTCACTAATGTAAAACTACTCAACAGTTTAAAAACAATTTTACAGCTTAATTCTACAAAAAAAATCAAGCTACATGTACAGATGCTGAATCTGTATCATATGATAAAACATCAAAGCTCTTCTATTTAACAATTTACACTATAGATTGACAATCATGCATCGTTTTATAGGTACCCTAAAAAGGATAGGCGGAATAGGTCGAGGCTATTTGGCATGAAAACAAGTGTAGCTCTGGGCTACACATTAAGGCAAAGTTCACACAGGTTAACATGGCTTAATGTGGAAAACTCAGCAGCTGGATCACATCAGTACTGATTCTTCCACAAAAACAGACAAAACAACAGAAACATCTCAGTCAGTTTCAAGCTTTGGGTGTAACAGTACAACAAAGATGATAGTTGCTGAGAAGTTGGAGAAACGTCTGGATGCATTCGAGAGATTCCCACGAAAACCACTTTGCAAATAGATTTTCAGATGGGAAAGTGGCTGAGGGCAGTGAAACAGCTTTTCATCCCTGATCAGGAGTGCACATCGTCCAGACATAAAGAAACAAAATGGACGGAGACACATTAAAAGTCCTCAGACATGGAGAGCGAAAACCGTCCCAGCACTTCGACTTAAACATCCACAACTCCTCAGACAGAAACCTGAGGTCAGTTTAAACTTGAGAGAGGAGGGAAGAGATCACCAGAAAAACACAAACTGTTGCACACAACAGTCAGCAGCATTTTCAAAGAAGGGAGGACAAGAATCCTGAACCCACATAAAAAAAAAAAACAGCCTCTAAAGAGCTTCACAGCTGAGGATGAACTCTGCGTCTAAACCTTCTCCTTCAGAGGTTCAGATGGTGGCAGTGCTTCCTGCTGTACATCCTCTGCGCTGCTGTCTGACGCCACATCAGCATGCTGCACGTCATCCTGTCAACACAACAAAAACCAATGGACACGTCAGTATAATAGTTGACAGACTAAACAGCCCAGGAAGAGAGTTTTGACATATACAGTAGGGTCCAAAAGTCTGAGACTACATCTAAAGTAAAACCGGAAATAATTGGAGTTTTCAGTAATAAGAAACATAGCAACTAATACATAAAATATAGAATATTCTAAACTATTTATAGGTCAACAACCAAACAGAGTAGGCGAAGTCAAGCAAATGTGCAGCATTAACCATGTTCACTTATTTCCTTGGGTCATATCGTCTTCCCTTCAGTGTGCTTCATCAGAGACATGTTCAGGTGAATCAATTTGCTGCCATTGTTTACTGTTATAAACATGTCTGTTTTCTCAGCATCAAAACACGGCCGGACTAGAGGTTTCCACAGTGGCTCTGCACAACTCAGAAGCTTGATCAGCTGGGATCCAAAGGTGAAGGAGCAGCGGGCACATCAGAACATCAGTGCATCAAGCTGCGTTGAAGAGGAGATAGACAAATCCACTTCATCGCAGACCTTGCTAAATGAAGAACGTAAGATTCCAATCAGTAAAAGGGAAGCGTAGCGTCTTTAAATTGCCTCTCTGACGGGCCAAACACCTGAGGTGGGCTGAGACAGAACAGCTTTTCACTGTGATAATGAGGAAAAAAAAGGTTCTATTTGTTGATAAATCCAAGTTAAAGATGAGTAGTCAGGAGACGAGACAGTGTTTCAAACCCACAGTGAGACGTGGAGGTGGGGGACATTCGAGAATGGAGTTGGACTGAATGGACTCCACACTGAGCAGGGAGAAGCAGCGCTCCATTCATCAGAGGCATGTTTCACTCAGCAGGACAACGAGCCCCAACACACCTCGAAGCGTTGACTGGTAGACCAAAAAAAGCTGGCCGTGGTGAACTTTCCTCCACAGTCACCTGACCTCAACCCTGATGAACATGTACCAGGCACAACGTTCACAAGAGGCTCTTTGGAACGCCGTCAGATCCCGCTGAGACGACACCTGTTACCAGGTTGTGTGCAGACATCCTGAAATCCATGCACATTTCTCAGAGATCCATCTTGTCAACATAACTGCTGAGCTCATGTTGTCATTTGTAATGAAAGAATGTAAAGACAATTCAAAACAAATGAAAAACAGAAGCATCTTCGTTAACGTTATCAGACTTTTGGACCTCACTGTATATTGGTTTCTCTGAGTTCATCCATGTAAGTTTGAAAACGTAGCCTTCATTGGGGCAAAAAGACAGAAAACAACAAAAGAAATGAGAATGAGAGTTAAATACTTATACAATTAATAAGATAATCACAATAAAATGTAAAAGAATCTGTAGTTAAACCTCATGCACAAGACCCACAGTGGTAAAAACCTTCTAGCACATAAAACCTACAGGCTACCAGATGGTCACATAATAAGCAAATGTCCCTTTGAGCTGACTCACCCTGTGTTTGAGGTAGGAGAGGTAGGTGTCCCACCCTAAGGTCACAAAGTTGATGTACACGACGCGGAATTTGGGCGAGAGAAAGTAGAAGTTGATCGTCTGAGCGGCAGGCCAAACACACCAGTCCATCTGTCAGCGAGAACGGCACAGATTAGCACAAATCAATCTGCGCAAACACTGTTGAAACTGACACCAGTGGAGGGGAGTTTGCGCTGCCTGCAGGAGAAACCAAACACGGCACATGAACAAGCTGTGACTGGGAGGTTGTGTTTGCTCCGTCAGTTACTTCCAACTGGCAAGAAACCAAGTTGTCGGTTTTGATAAATGTGACTGACGGGGGAAGCGGTCAGATTATTCTTTGAGCCTTTTTGTTTGCAGAAGAGCAGAGAGCGTTAAATGAATATGTGGATATTATATACACGCAGTCTGTTCCTACATTGTTCTTCTCTACGGTGTGCAAAGTGGTCCTGTCTGTATGTTACCTGAATATAGTTACGTTTGCTTAATTTGTCCATGTGACAACAACGACATTTCAACTCTTGAGGCGCCAAATATTCCACCAATGTGACCCAAAATCACAATACTGGTAGAATGTAGCAGATTTATTTCTTCACATCTGGAAAGTTGAGCAGTAGAAAATCAAGCATGGATTGAGGCTCACATTCAGTTTTTCTCTCTTTGTGTTTCATCCTAACACAAGCACAGATGAGGCAGTCAGGTTCAGTTTCAAATGCAAAGTTAACTTCTCATCTTTGTTCAAAAAATAACAAAAGCTTGGGATGTGATGAGTGATTATTAGTGTGAGCACATGCACGCAGCTCTGCAGGTCTGACAGGTGGACTTGCCTTATAAAACTCCCAGAACTTGTCTCTAAAATCCACCCATCCTTCGGATAAACTGCGTCCCTGCAAGAGGTCCATACCTGCAATAAACAGAGTTGTCTGTCAGATGTGCGTCAGCAACACACTTCATTACAACCAACTTCAGATAAGGCCAGAAACTGGTGACCCTATATAAAACATGGAGGTGATCATAAACAAATTAGTCAGTTCCAAAAGGTTTTATCACAGGTGACCTCTGAACTCTGTACACCTGTGATTACGACATAAGCCGTCTTTTGTCTCACCTCACCCACGTCTTTATGCGCAACCTTTGACCGTACTCGCTTTCTTACCTGCGTCATTAAGAAACTGCTCATACACTTACGTGCTCTGACGAATGTTCAGGTGTGTACTTGTGCACGATGAGACTGCTTCGTGTCAATAAACTACTCCTCACCTAAAAAATACCACATCCCCAACGTCGGTGAGGCGACAAGCTGGTCCACCAGCACTTTCTTGCTCAACGTGTTCAGAGCTTTGCCCACATACACTCTGTCCAGCCAGTTGTACCAGTAGTGCAGCAGTGGACCCATGGAGCAGCCCACCACAAACATGCGACCTTCAGGGGGAAATAAATAAAGGGGAAAAAGGGAACATTAGGTTGTTTAAAGGGAGAACAATGAGGGATATAAAAATGTATGATGGTAAAAAGCGCCGCTACTGCAAATGGTGCAAGACAGAAAACTGTTAAATGTGTTCATATATAATATTTTACTGATGCAGTCGCTTAATTCCAACTGACAGCTGCGCGTAAAGTTTAACTTTAAACTTCATATATTTAAACCTGATCTTGTATTGAAGTACATTTAGGTCTGACACTGTCCCATAATGCAGGATATCACTTTATTGTTTGGCCCAATCAGAGCAAAATTAATGTCATTGACTGAATATTCTCTGTAATAAATACCAGCAGAATAATCCATGTTCTGATCTGTGTTCTAGCAGCTCCAGTAGCAGCAGTGGAAATGGACTTGACAGCAGATCAGAGCCAAACATAAAAACATATTTATGTGATTTCTGCATCGTCCACTAAATACATGCCTGGTTCCCATGGCAACGTGATATTTACAGTGTGTAATACTGTAACTCCGTGGCTTCATTCAGTGATATTAGTGACGTACAGCTCAGCATGTTTGCAGATAAAACATTTGGTTAAAGGGAGATGCTCTTTCCAGCCGATTTACATCCTAAACTCTGAACATAATCTGCTCCTGACCGGGTTAGCGCCACAGCTCTAGTTACCATGAAGATCTAGCTCCACAGCATCGGTTACCATGGAGATCTAGCAAGTAAAAAAAAGATAGCCACCTTTGTGACACTGAAAACTCTGACTTTGAGCTCAACATACCTGATAACCCACTAATCTTGCTTCATAGTGCAACCCTCTGGGCAATAAGAGCAAAAACAGACTAAAAGACAGCACATATCTCAGGGCTGTTGAAATACTAAATGAACACTGAACAGAAAATCTTTTTTTCTTTTTCTTTTTCGCTGCTAATTGTAAATTTTCCTGTTCACACAGTGACCCAGATTACATCTGTACGTCACTGTAGTGAGCTGCTATAGAAACTTTTTTTGGGTGTGAAGTTACTTTTTTCGAAACTAAATTAAATTAAATTTTTTTACCAGCTGTATATTTTCTACCAACTGCTATGCCAAGATAATTAAAATGTTTTGTGTTGTTATGTTTGCGTATTTTTACTGGTCAGAAAACAAACTAATGGGCTGTCTATGTAGATTCTTAATGCTAAAAGCTTCAGCAGAAGCAACTGGACTTCTTTTATTGGTTCTTGAAGAGGGTTCACCTCTAATCCCAGAACTGAAGACGCCTCTCTGATAAGAGAACCAAAAAGAAAAGTCCAGCTGCCTTTTGCAGAAGTTCGTACATTTAATTAATGGACTGTAACAGAACGATCACTGTTGCATAGATACAAAAAGTAGAGACAGCATCTGCCCTCCTCTGTACTCCACACAGTCACAAAAACAAATGACTTAAAATAAGTTTGTTCTGCTTCTGCTGCTCTCCTAATCATCAGTCACAGTCCGAACGTATTCAAAGATGATGCAGAGCAAATGTTTAATCAACAAATTAAAGTGGCAATTACAGACACGGCGTTGAAAGCACAATGAATCAATCCCTTATTGCGCAACTTTTACATTAATATGCATTTATGACATAAACTCCATCCTCCACCTCGTCTCTCTCTCTCTCTCACCTGTCCTCTTCCAGTCCCGGACTCGGCCCGGCTCCCTGCGGTTCTCCCGGCTCTGCTGCAGGATGTCTCCCAGCGACAGCATCACTCCTCCACTCAGGGTGTTGGTGAGCAGCAGGTAGCGGCCCTGGAAGAACGGCTTCCAGAAGAACCGTATGCGGACCAGAAACTCTTTACCCGCCCTGGGAATCATGACGTTTGGATGGCAGAGAGGAACCCGTTACCTGTGCAAGACAAAACAGCTCAGTCTCTTTCTGTGTCTATGTCTTTTCAAACACTGCCTTGTCAAAGTCCAGTCGCCAGTCTGAAGAAGCCCAGCTCGACTCACGCTGACCTAGAACCTCTGATATCTTTTATACATCTTTTTTTTTCTAATTAGCTCGACAAATTGACAAAGCACAGTCGACCTGCATACTTTACATTGCCATTGCCTGGCGCTGCAGCTTTATTCATTGTAAAAGGTAAACTTCCTCGCTCAGGGAGGAAGACTATCATAAGCAGGCTGCATGCAAAAGCATCAGAAGTGGCATTTTACCACATCACAAATTTTAACTTTAAAAATCCCTTCATTTAAATGGCATTAAAATAACGCACAAATTTATCTATTACAAACCCACTCACTCAATGCTAAGAAAGCATTTCAGAAGAGAGCCGACCCAAAACTCACACCTAAACGAAGCATCTGCAGATCGGATGGTTGCTGCAAAATGACCACTCACAGCCCTCTTGGAGACAACAGCACATCTCCCACCTCAACCAGAACCTGATACTGGTCATAAAATGCCAATTCTGAGGAAAACCACACCTCTGGAGAAGTAGAGACGTCATTCTTCACACTGACCTCCTGACCTTTATCTCACCCTAACATGTAGAACTTCCTATACCACAATTAACTGAACAGTTTAAATCCCAAAATGAGGGAAATCAAGTGGAGTGATGATCCTAAATCTGGACTCAATCTGTGGTACCAGGTTGAGTAGGACCAGTGAAGAAGAACGTACTGAATCTGAAGTGTTTGTGGAAGACGCACACAGGAGACACAGACACCCGCCTTCTCTCTGTCACAGCCAGAAATACACAGAGAGACTCGTATCCCAAGCATATATAATTATTAAGTCTTAATTCTCTTCTTGTTGAATGTGTATGCTTGAATTCTTAGTTATAGTATAAATTACCACAAACCACATAAATTCAGCAAAATAATAATAAGAAATAATAAGAAAAATCTTTTGCCTCATTCGACTGTGCTCCAGGGAGAAATTAGGTCATTCACTGTTTTTATTTAGTACATTTCAAACAACAAATGTAGTTTTCCACTAGACAAATAGGATTAACCTCAACAAATGTAACAAGATCAAATATGAGGATTAAGAGCTTAAGTATTAAGAAACATATTAAGGCACATTAAGGCATCTGTGGCTATAGAGTTTAGATTTAGGGATTTTTTTCTACAATTTAGGGTAAATTGTGGACTATTTTAAGAGATTCTTGCTTAAAAGTGACTAACTAGAGGATTTTCCATTATTTCAAAAACTTTCATCGCTGGGATCATTTACTTCATGTATGAAAAACAACGGAGCCAGTTTACAAGTACACCAGAAGGTCGTCTCTTTATCAGTTATCCATTTCCAGCTAGAGACATAAAGGGGCAATAAAAAGCATGGACAAACTCAAGGTGAAACTGTGAGTACAGGAGGAGAGGGACGTACCATTCACAGACTTAAAGACTAACATAGCTCTAATTAAAACTACAAAAAACCCTGATACAAAAGTACAGCAGGTTTGAGGCCAAATTTAACCAACAAAGATCTGACGGCAACAAGTTTGTGGGGATCAAGTCAGGGGAGGAATCCTCCCCAGACTGAGCTGAGGGTGCATTAAGTTCTGCGTAGAAACTCTAAGAAATCAGCAAAAGTCAGATGATGAAACAAAGCTCACCAGTCACCTGCTTCGGTCCTGGACAAAATCAAAGTGCTGGACTGTTAGAGGCCCTCGAAGTCCCAAAAGAGATGCCACAGAGAGAAGAGATCACCTTGTTGAACTGAAAGCTTTTGTTTTTTGTCTGAAAGGTGTATTTGAATTTAAACATAGCTGTTAATAAGTCTGAACCAGGCCACTACTGGCTTTACAAACGCTTTTCAGCCTTCATTTTGAAATGGAGCCTGAATTTATTGTTCTAACTTCTATCTTCTGATTGAACATTTGGTTGGATAAGTGCACTCAGGATATCTCTAAAATGAATGCCTGTTGCCTTTATAATTTATTATCTACTCAAATAACTGATTATTAAGTGTGGCACACAGTTATGTCAAAGGATCATCTCACAGTATCACAAAGATCACAACAGAGTATGAAGCCTACTTTAACATTTCAGATGCTAATGCTATAGAAAACTATTTAACATTTATCAAATAACAACTCAGCAATGTCAGCATTCCTTCCGTTACCTACTTTGCTTGACAAGTGATTGCTTTATTGACATTTATAGTATTGTCAGTGATTAAGTAAATAAAGAGAGTTTTTAGACATCACGTGTTGAATGAGAGTCACTGCTCCTCACCGCGGCTATCTGTTAGCCGTTAGCTAGTTAGCCTGTCTGGTTCATATCAAACTGAATGAACAGCTCGGCAGCGCTCACCGTGTGGCCGGAGAAAACCCGGTAATGTACCGTTTTATACTCGGCTCAGCACACACGCTGGTATTTACGTATCATTTAGTTTCACAATGATTCAGTCAACAAGTTAGCAAATCACGGAGGGTCAACACATGCGCCGGTTGGTCTGGTTCCCTGCAGATACACGTTTAGTCCTCACCTGACCCTCAACAAACACGGACTATAAAACCACTTTTGCCTGGCACAGCGAAACACAAAGTTAAACCACAATAGCCCTGAATACATATATCATATTACATATAAATATATGAACGTTAACATTGTTCTTACTGGATGGAAGCATTTGCGGTGACATCCATGATGTGAAGACAGAGCAGAGGGACACACAGCTGGCTTTAACACCGCGTGGTTACCATGTGAGCGCCCCCTGCTGGCGTGGAGGAACAACACAGCTCCAATAAATAGAAGAGCAACAGCAACGACATTCGTCCTCAAATGTATTCATACCCTCCCATTAAAGAAGGAAAAAAAACAGCTGTCACTGAAATAAGTTGAAATTGACAGAGGTTATAATAAATAATTTTTTTTAAATGAAAATCATGACACTGCTTTTGAAATGGAGTTCAACAGAAATCTAAAAAAGCAAACAAACAAAACAAACAAGCATGATGGGACCTGTAAACTAATACTTTGTTGAACAACCCTTTGAGCCAATCACTGCAGTCAAGTGTTTTCTGTAACTCTCAATCAGACTTCTGCACCTGTTGGCAGGTATTAAGAGTTCACTGCTCATCAGCATTATTTTAGAGGCTCTATAATGTTGGTCCTTACAGGCCACAGATTGTTGCCACATTAAAGCAAAAATATCTACGTCAAATATTCACATTACACCAAACTAGCCCATGTTATGTACTGTTTTAACACAAGAGGTTTGGGAAATACTTCTTTGGAACTCGGTGGCAGTAGGGCTGATATTCAAAGGGCAACATGGGGTCAGTGGGGACAAACAGACAGTCATGTTAATCCAACCATGGCTTTATATCTCACCGCTAAGGTGGTAAAAGCTGTAAACAGCTCTAAGTAAATGCAGTGTCACTGTTTCTCAGCAGTTTGCTTTCTGAGTTTGAACAGCACCTGTAGATTGTACCTCAGGCTTGCACAGTTAAACACTGTCACCTACTGATGTAAAGGAACACAGCAGGAAATACATAATTGAAGAATATTAACAGAATGGACACATATGTATGTATTTCTGCTTTTAAAGACAAATAAAAGCTCTGGTATTTATTTGACTCAAACTTTCTATTTATGTCTATATGTTTTTGTACTGTTCTCTTTGCTAACCCAATTTTCTGGGGATAATACAGGCTTACCTTATCTTATCTTTTGAACATCCTTATCTGTATCGGGCATACACTGACTAAAAACCATCATAGCACATTTAATGCATTCACAATTTTGTCAGATATTTGATAGTAGATGTCGTATGTCTGTTCTCGTGACAGAAATAAAGTCACTTTTTTTTGCAACTTTTCACCTTTTTTATTGTTTCTTTCCCCTTTTCTGCTGACAAAATACTTAACTCATAAAATTATATTTACCTGCTTTGTCCTGCTTCCTGTGGGAGCGCTACTTTCTGGTAAAGTTAAATTATCCAGAGATCATTTGTATTTTTGAGATATTGGATCATTTTTCAGCTTTAATCTTTTATCACTGCAGACAAATTGATTCTGTCTTAATCTCAGTGACACATGATTCTCAAACTGTGCATTTGCTGTATTATTTCTGGTATTTCACTTTGCACACTTGACTCTACATTGTTTAAAGTGATCTTTGAGCAGATCTGATGAGGTCAGAGTGGCTCTGATTTATTTTGAATCCTGTCCTGTGTCAGTACAGTGTTTCTCTGGTGATCATATGTTATCGCAGTGATATTTTTACAGCAACCTTCATAAAACCAAGTGTCTGATATTGGCTGGAAATGGCAGCAGTGGTTACTGCTGACCTCCTGATCAATTATTCAGTTTCTCCGGCAGCGCTCATCAATAATAAACGACCGGTTCAGCATTTGAGGTGGAATGTTTCAGGCCGCTTCTTACGGCGAGGCTCCGGATTCGTCAGATGGGCTGTCAATCATCCACAGAGCATCCCCCAAAGTCCCACCCACCTGTCATTCAACGAACGTCACTGCATAAAGATCGCGGTGTTACACAGAGATCAGAGCTTCCGTTTTCCTTCAAAATAAACTACTGCAAAGCCGTGAAGGTAAATCAAATTTTAACACTTTAAAGGTGAACTTCACTGAATTTATTCAATGCATTTTGTTTACAGATATTTTGAGTTATTTCTGCATATGTGAAAACAGAATATGCCTAAATTGTACTGCTTTAAGATAGCTGTACAAATTAATAAGCAACTGTTTTGATAAACATGTCAATTATTTTGTTTTTTTAAAAAATCCCATCAAATTTCATTATTTCCTTCTTGTCCAACGTGAGGACCAACTCTTCTTGCGCCAGACATTGCTAAGCAAAAGCTACAATAATGTGAAAAATACTGATAATTAAAAACATTTTGAAAAGTAAGCTGGTTAAAATAAACGACAAAAAAAAAAACTAAACAAAAAACACCATAGAAAGGTAGTGAGTAATACTAGTAATGATAGCCTACTGGAGTAAACAGCTACAATACAAATATCAATATTTATCATTTACCATTAACACTACACTTAAACACACACACAAAATAGGAATGAAAAAAAAGAAAAAATAACAACTAACTTTTATGATAGTTCTCGAATTTTTATTCATTTAATAATTTTTTTATTTTTATTTTTTTAAAGTCAGAGCCCATTTTTAAAGGCTTTTATTTTGGAATTGGTCTGTGGATGCACTGTTGCTCAGCCTCTCTGACTTGACAGCGGTGTTTCTGCGGTGCTGGACGTGGTGGATAGCAGCCGGATAGAAATCTATAAAGGTAGGTTTTCTGTCTTTAATAATCTGCTGCAGGGACATCCGATCTTACATTTATATTTCAATGTACAGTAAAATGTATTTTCTCTTCGTGTCAGCGCTTATTTTAAATACCAAGCGAAGGATTCCAGATTAAAGAACCTTTGGCATTAGATGCTGCCTTAACAGCTGTTTCCATTGTGAAAAGCAGAAAAGCCGTCATACATGCAGCCTGTAAAATGCATGTTGATCCGTGTTTTGTGTGTGGATGGACGAAGGCTGCTGCTGCTTCAGTGGGTCTGTGCTTTGACTCAGGGCCTGTCCTGCAGGGAAAAGGCGTTTCACACCGTCCGATGGCTGAAACCAAGAAAATGTATGTGGCTGGGTCTGAGGCAGGAACAATAGATTAAAATACAATCACTAACAGACCCAACCGGACAAGATCAGTCATACACATTATGTTTGACGTGTATATACACAATTATTTCTAATAACATGTAATTGGTATTATGCTGAAATATCCTGAGGTCACCATATACTCACTATTAGTCCAAATATCAGGGTGATTATAAGAATATTGTTGGTATTTAATTCATGAAATGTGCTCTGCATTGATCAATAGAGGACTGTTGTGTTATGGGGGTAAAATATTCAGCCAGATCTACATATGAACTGGCTGTTCTTTTATTCATTCATTCATTCATTCATTCATTCATTCATTCATTCATTCATTCATTCATATTCAAACCAAAATACTACATCATATACATATATTTGCACTGCACACAATCAGAACGTATTTCAAGCACAGAGGAGGAAAGTATATGGTGTATAAAACGAATATATAATCGAATATTGATGAATTTGTGTGCGGTCTGTGCGTGTCTGTGTGTGTGAGGGTGTAACGGCTTGCATTCACTTTGCCCTGCTGTTTCAAAGCTTTACAGCATCATACAGCATTCACTGTCACCAGTTTGGTTATTAAAATCAATCAATATAATGCTACAGCATGACAACATAAAGAGCGACACAAACTATAAGATTTAAACCCCTCTGGCAGTAATAGGCTTTCTTTCTTTCTTTCTTTCTTTTTCTTTCTTACCTACAAAGTGGTTTTATTGCATTTAATAGAGTCTGAATACAAGCTCTCGGTCTGCAGGCCACATCTGCACGTCCTCTGCTCACAGAAAACTTACTGACTGTTAGACCTGAAGGCAAAAGTGACGCATCTGCTGTGTCACATGGCAAAACACACATCCATGTTGTCCGTGACAAACACACTCCGCTACCAACCAGGATCAGACTGAACGGCACGTGGGGTTGAAGCCTTTTTGTTTTTTGTATATTCAAGAGTTCTATTGTCCTGTGATTGCCAAAGCTGCTTTTACACATAAGAAAAACTACAAATCTCATGTACAAACACAGCAAGCTCTGTAGATTTTAAGCCAAAACTGTGTTAATAAATAGAAACTGGCCCATATAAAGCTATATCAGTTAACTCTATCACCATCATAATTATCAGAAAATAACTCCAGAAAGTCCTGAATACAAAGCATATAAATCATGTTGTACTATCTAAAAAAAAATGCTGCATGTAGTGTAGAAACAGAGGGGAAATATATCAAATAAAACATACATAATTCAAGGATGAACCTGTTTGCAAACACACACAAGCTTCTGTTTTCTGTCAAAAACGTCCTGGATTCACCTGCAGACTGAAACACCAATAACACCTCCCACATCCCGGCTCTTCTCCTCGCTGCTCTTTGTGGTGAAAAAAAGAAAAAAAATGAAGACACGCTATTTTTAGCTTCCCCTCCTCTCATCTGCATCCCCACGCTTCCTAGAAAAAGGAGGCACGTGATTGGAGGAAAAGGGGGAAAATGCCGTCTCAGGCGATCAGGGAGCAGCTGAGTGACACCGCCGCTGTCTGTTTGAGCTCAGAGTTATTGTTTCACACACGAGGATGATAAATAATGTATCGGCTAGATTTGAATAAAAATCAAACATTCTGCTGAGAAACATCGACAGGATGTTAGATTTATTCTCACAGTTGCTGCAAATGGATTGTAGCAGCCAGCTAGTGTTTTACTGCTCCGGGTTTAGAGTCCAGCTTTAACATTTTAGCATCAAGAAAGACAACAGCAGAGCAGCCGGTGAGGAAAGATGCAGCAGTTTGTTTGAGAGGTCAGAGGTCACTTCACTTTAAACAACGGCAATAACGCTCCAAAATTAATCTGATGTGAGTTTTACAAGCTTCCCGGCCATTGCAGGCTGGAACAGGCACGAGTGGTTTGGGATGGGAAAAGTTTCACACACATTTAATGTCGTGAAACATGCTTCAAACAAAGAGATATGGCCTTTCTGCTTTGAAGACTTCTTGTTCTTGGGTGGGAAAAGTCAAAGTAGCAACGCCCAGCTGCAGAAGTACTCCATTATAAGTAAA